GCTTGACCACTGACTGTGACCTTATCACACGCCACAGCCCCCCAGGCTCCTGCTGGTCTTCCTCACTGCCCAGGTTCCCAGGAACACTTAAGCTCTGGGGACAGGCTCAACTTGGGAACCTTGTGGCCCATGGCCACCATGTGTGCAAGACTTCAGCTTCTGCCCTTGTGCTGCTCAGGATGTTTGCACAGGGGCCTTTGCTTGGGCTTTGCGGTCTCCCCAGGAGCCCAAGGACTACTGATTTCTGATCCCAGAAAGACCTCAGGACCCCCTTTAGGCTCTTTGACTCCTACCTGCTAGGTCCTTCTTGGAAACTGCAGGCAGGGCCTCCCTTAACACCTACGACTCATCCTGATGTAGGCAGGTAGGTCAGGGAAGGGTTCCCCCACATCTGGGCTAGCTGAGGGTTAAATTTCTGGGAAGTAATAAAGTCACCAGTCCTAAGTCTGACCCACCTTGTGGATACAGAAAGCAAGACGAGATAAGACCTCCAGCAGCCGGCCTTGAGGAGACTGGACCACTCCCTATACAGAAAGGACCTGGAGGAAATTACTGGAGAGCCCTCAATTCAATTCCTTCCTTTAATCCTCAACTAGCCCAGACCAGAGAAGGCTGGATCCATCCTGTGAGAGAAGATCCAGCAGGAACAAAGGTCAAGGAATTTCAAAGAAGACCACTCCCAGTTCTACCAAGTTAGCAACAACCCTAGCAACAGATTCATATTTAGCTAGAAAGCCCATGTGGGGGCGTCTTGGGAAAACCCTATAAAGGCCACCCTGGACAAAGGAAGGGCGCCCATATGCTGCCCGAACCCATATGCTGCTTGTGCCAATGTGGCCGAGCTCATGTGGCAACTGAGCAGGTCTCGCCCACATCTACCCTCTTGAGATGTGTATTTTCATGCTTTCGTGTCTAATGCTGATGATGTAGGCAGGTAGATGGGGAAAGGCCCTGGGCAACAAAACTTAGGTCAACAGAACTTCTGGGAGGAAAATCTTAAAACTGATCCACCTTGGGGATACAGAAAACAGACCTGATAAGAGCAGACCCTGAGGAGATTGGACTCCTCCTCATGAAAAGTTCCTCAAACCCTTGGACCTGACCCTTAATCTGATTAAAATGTGATCCAAAATGTGAAATTCTAAACAATAATGGTGCATCTTTTGTCGAAATAATGAATGTAATCAATGTGGAGAAGAGTTCAGTAGAAATCATCTGCCTCACAGGCATTGGGGGGGAGGTTAGAAGGGGGGTATATTGGGGTTCTTGGTGGTGAAAAATGAGTACTGGTGAAGGGAAAGGTGTTTGATCATTGTATGACAGAGATTTAAACCTGAAAGCTTTGTAACTTTTCCCACAGTGATTCAATAAATAAATATAAGAAGAAAAAAAAATGTGATCCAGCCCCGAGAAGACTCCAGAACTTTCAGATCAAGACAACCCGAGAAGAGACTTTAAAAGACACCTTGAACAAAGGAAGGGTGTGCATATGCTGCCCAGGCCCATGTGCTGCTTGCACCCATGTGGCCAAGCACGTGTGATGTCTGAGCACATGTGTCGCCCACATCTCCCCTCTTGAGATGTGTACTTTTATGCTTTCCTATCTAACGCTGGGATGCATGTAGGGGCTCTCTCCGTCCTTGGAGAAACCCAGGTTCTCTCTTGAGCATGTTACTCTCCACTCTCTCCCACTTTATCTTCCTCCTTCCCTTCAAAAACCCTCCAAATAAAATCTGTTTACTTCACTGTTTGCAACTCCTGAAATTCTTTTCTGCAAGCAAGATAAGAACCCAGTAATTCTGGATCCTGGGTGGCAGAGGCAGATTGGGAGAAAGTGACTGTCTTTCTCCTCCTGACTCTTGTGAGCTACCTGTGGGGTCCACCGACATCACTGGGATGTGTATAGGGGCTCTCTCCAACCTTGGAGAATCCTGTGTTTTCTCTTGAGTGCATTTCTCTCTCTCTCTCTCTCTCTCTCTCTCTCTCTACACACACACACACACACACACACACACACCTTCAAAAACCTCCAAATAAAATCTGTTCTACTTCACTGTTCGTCTACTCCTGAAATTCTTTTCTGTGAGGCAAGACAAGAACCCGATAACCCTGGGTAAGGTCTAGGACTGACTTTCCTTTCCTGCAAAGAGCAATTTCTCATCCCGACCTAAGTTTGTAGCTCCCTGAGAAATTAAGTGGCAGGGATAAACTCCCATGCCGAGAAGACCTAGTGGACATTAACTGTGGCTTGACGGTCACCTGGTAGGGCTGGAGGGGCTTTGACCCATGCTGAGCAGGGGCTCATCCAGACTTTATCAGTCCTAGTGATGTAGGCAGGTAGACAGGGAAAGGCCCTCAGCAACGAAACTTAGGTCAACAGAACTTCTGGGAGGAAAATCCTAAGACTGATCCACCCTGGGTGGAGGATGGGTGGAGGATGCATCCTCCACCCAGATCCTCCAAATTCCAGTAGGCGGGGGGGGGGGGGGGGGGGGGGTGTCACACCCACCACCTGGCCCCCTGGCGCCATGTAATCCCATCAACAGCCAAGACTCAGAGACTATAAAATCCAGCTCCCGGAACCGCGCGGCCGCAAATCAGGACATCTTTTTATGACATCTTGTTATCTCATTCCTACTTTGCTCGAGGCAATCGACGATTAACAGGATGATGAAATCAAATGAAATGAAATGAACTTTGGACAAACTTGCAGGCTATCGAATGTAGCCTGCCCACAGGGCAGAGTCTGGCAAACTCCCCGTGGTGTACCAAATATGCCAAATACCAGTAACAATGATGGGTCTTATTCTCCTAAAGAGCCTTGAATATAATCTCAGGGTTAGGATGAAAGAGACGTTACTGGGGCCTGCTCGAGGCAATCGACAAATAACAGGATGATGAAATGAAATGAAATGATCCACCCTGTGGATACAGAAAACAGACCTGATAAGATCTTCAGCAGACCCTGAGGAGGTTGAATCCCTCAAGTTCCTCAAGCCCTCAGACCTGCCCCTTAATCTGATTAAAATGTGATCCAGCAGCAAGAAGACACCAGAACTTTCAGATCAAGACAACCTGAGAAGAGTCTGTAAAAGGCACCTTAAACAAAGGAAGGGCGTGCATATGCTGCCTGAGCCCATGTGCTGCTTGCGCCCATGTGACCAAGCACATGTGATGCCCGAACACGTGTCACCTACATCTTCCCTCTTGAGATGTGTACTTTCATGTTTTCGTGTCTAATGCTGGGATGTGTCTAGGGGCTCTCTTTGCTCTTGAAGAAGCCACCATTCTCTCTTGAGTCTCTCTCTCTCTCTCTCTCTCTCTCTCTCTCTCTCTCTCTCTCTCTCTCTCTCTCTCTCCAAAAAGCCTCCAAATAAAATCTGTTTACTTCGCTGCTTGTCTACTCCTGAAATTCCTTTATGCGGGCGAGACAAGAACCCAGTAATCCTGGGTCCCGGGTGGCAGAGGCAGATTGGGAGATCAGGAAAAAGTGACAGTCTTTCTCCTGCTCACTTCACATGAGCCATTCGTGGGGCCCACCGACATTACAAGTCTTCCCAGCTGAGTCTTGGGGTAGCAGAGGTGGACCAAGAGAAAGTGACCATCTCTCTCCTTCCTGCTTCACATAAGACACCCGTGGGGCCCACCAGCATCAATCCTATCCCTTGGCCTTACCTGGAACCATGTCCCAGGGGCTGGTGCTGCCAGTGCAGAGCCGAGGACACCTTGGGCAGACACAGACCACTGCTCACAAAGAATGAGAAGTTCACTCACTCCAACATTAGCAGCCAAGCCATGGCGGGAGGTGAGCTCTGAGCTCCACACAGTTTGCAGTTGTAGGTATGCTGCCCCGGACTGCTGGGCAGGTGAGGCCAGGCTGAGCCCCATCATCTGGGGGGTGGTGGTGGGGGTCTAAGGGGCATTAGGAACCACCAGGCTGCAGAGCTGCGCATGCTTGAAGGAACCGGACCTGGGCAAGAGGACTGAAAAGCACTGCTCTCCGGGGCCCCTGCGTGTCACACCTTTTTTTTTTCTTTTTGGGACACACCCAGTGATGCTCAGGGGTTACTTTTGGCTCATGCACTCAGGAATTACTCTTGGTGGTGCTTGGGGAACCATATGGGATGCTGGGAATCGAACCCCAGTCAGCCACGTGCATGGCAAATGCCTACCTGCTTTGCTATCACTCCAGCCCCTGGTTGTTGCACCTTTAGCAGACAGCCTTGCCTTTCTCCATAAACTCCCTCTGCCCCGAGGAATGATTCTGAGACTCATACCCCAAACTCATGGCCTGTGCTAGACTGTGTCAGGGCCAGGGCAGACCACACAGGCGACAGCTAGGAGGCTTCCCTGCAGCCTGCCCAGTCTTTCTCAGTGACCCCCACTCTGAGATCCCCCCCCCCCCACCCCTGTACCCAGCCCTCAGGTTCTGAAAACACAGGTGAAGGCAATGCACTCAGCTTCATCCTGGGGCTTCTTTCTGATCCCGTGGGCCTCCCACCTTCTCCCAGGATCCAGGGCTTGCTCCTTCAGTCCCCAAGAAAACCCCAAGAAAACCCCCGCTCAGCCCTGGGAGCTCTCGGTCTTTGATGCCCCTTCCCAGCCTGCCACGTATGACCCCACCTGGTCTCACCCATTCTTCCTTCAGGGGAAACGCTGTGTGTTGAGTGGTCACAAAATTCACTCAAATATAAGCAAAAATAAGATTTACTTGTGCTCAGGGGTGGACAGCGTGGCCCCTGTGGCCCTGACTGTCCCTGCAGGAAAGCATGCCCCTCCCCCCTAGCAGCTCTGCCCTCCGCTTCTGGGGGAACTTCCTTCTGGAGAGGGGCTTGGTTCCCGAGAGGGCAGTGGGTGGCGGCCGGGGGGGTTCAGCACGGCCCATTCTGCTGCCCTTCTCTCTTCTCTTGCTCCGGCTGTGGCCAGCTGGGAGCTCCGGCTTCGCTCCTCTGTCAGGCATGAGCTTGGCAGGACCCGGCCCAGGCAGAGCCTTCAGCGCCTTAGACCAACTTCGGGGACACACAACCCTCTAGTTCCACCAGCTCAGGCCAGTCTGAGTATTTGTTTTCTTTTGGGTTGTTCTTCAAGTACTAGGGAGAAAAGAGAAAGAAACGCTGGTCACAGGAGGAAGGACTGATGAGGAGTCACACCTGCATCACGTGGGGCATCCGAACTTCATGTCTTCACCGCGGCCGTAGCCTGGTCCCTTAGGAAATGAGTTGGTGTGGGATATTGCCAGCCCATTTCACAGAACGGGAAACTGAGGCTCCGAGGGGATGCAAGTTGCCCGAGATTTCAGATGGGAGCAAGGCCTAGTCATGGCCTATTTTGCCATGTGTGCGCATGGTTTGGACAACTAGCCCTCTCCGCAAACTTTAGCAGTCCCTCTAAGATAATGGAAGCAATAGCAATGATAAGAGGAAAAATCCTAGCAATCACTATTATTGTTTTTTTAGTGCTAAGTACTTTACCTAAAATCTCTTTTTTGGGAGGTGGGGTAGGACGAGGCCAGATTTGGGTTAGACCTAGCAGCGCTCAGAGCTTACTCCTGGCTCTGTGTCAGGGATCACTCTTGGCACTGCTTGGGGACCACACATGGGGTGGGAATGAACGAGGCAAGTGGCTTGACTCCGGTGTTATCTCTCGGGCCTGCCCAGCAATTCTTGAGCTTTGCTCGTGTCTGTATTTAACCTTCACATTAAGCCCTAAGAAGTAGATACTCGTCATGGGATTTCACTGATGGAATAACAGGCACAGAGCGCTCAAGCAACTGCCTGTCACCCCTCAGCAAGTGGTGGAACCGCAGTTCAATATTGTCTAATATTAGTAACAAGTACTCACAGAAAATACACTCAGGTAAAGATGGATGGAAGGGCCCAGGCTCAGGGGTAAATGGCAAAACCAACTGTTGGAATAACTGGATCACACATAGGAAGGAAAAAAAAAAAAAACCCTACACATGTAACTTCTCTACAGCCTGTCCCGGGGCCCAAGGAGAGCCATAGGCCGAGCACAGGCCCTTGCATGCTGGAGGCCTGGGTTCCATTGCCAGCACTCCCTGGCCTTAGCTGGCCCCCTGAGCACTGGCTGGGAGTGACGCCCGCCCCAACCTCCCCCACAGAGCACCAGCTTCTGAGCATGGTAGGATGTCGCCCCCAAACCAAACAGCACCCGTTTCCCTTGTGCGGTTTAATCACCACATCTCGGTGCATTCTGGGTGATGGGCCCCAGTTAGCAGATCTGGAACATCGGGTTAAGTGTGGTGCCGATGTTCCGGGGAGTCTGTGCTTATAGCAGCAGGATGGGGTGGCATCGGGGAGGCGGGCAGAGCCTATGAGAAGCACGCTGGCATCCACACGTCCCGTCCCGGGATACTAGCTCAGCCCTTATCCGGCTGAGGCTGGGTTGATTGGGCTGTCAGGGGGGGATCCGAGGGAGCCCCACCTGGTTGAGCCTGCACAGAGCGGGTGTGGGCTCCCCACTGCTCATCCTCACCTCCAACCTGCTCCTGTCAGGGCTCCCGTCCCTTCAGGACCGAGATGGCCTCCCTCTCCTCTCTGTCCCAACAAAGCCCACCTCGGGGGCATGCCGAGTGCAACGATCTCTCCATTCCTTCTGGCCCATCTGCCTTCTGGGCTTCAGAACGGCACCGAGCTGGGGAGCCTCCCCCACTACCCCAGCCCCACCCGGAGAAGCCAGCTGCCTTGGACAGAGAAGGGCCAACACCTAGTTGGGGGCCTCTGACCCTGCGGCCACTTCCTCCCCTCCCCATCTTCTTCATCTCCCCTCCGAGCACCTCCCAGATGCCTTGTCCTGGGGCATCACTGGGTTGTGAGTGTGGACCCGCCGACGCACTCCAGTGCTCCCTTTTTGTCCCCTTCTTGGAAGAAATTCATCTTCTCCACAGTGAACTTGGAAGGGGCCTCAGGACCCCCAAGGGAGATGGAGACCCCCAAGGGAGAAGGGGCTTGACCATGGTCACAATTGGGGCCACAAGCGTGACCCCCCTCTCCGTACCCCCTTCCCAGTCTCCCCTCCATCCATCCTTCCTGTCACCTCCTTCCTTCCCTTGGTACCTATCCCTGCATTTCCATGGGAACCCCCCCCCCCCAGGGCTCTGGGGGCCTGACTGCTCTGCCTGCTGGGCCCACCCCATGCAGCGGGGGACGGGGAGCCCCGAACCCACCTTCTCGTAGGGGCTTTTGCTCTTGCTATGCCTGGCGCCGATGAACACCCAGCTGTCCCGGAAGGCCAGCTGCTTTGCGTAGTTGCTGCCCAGGTCCGAGAAGAGCTTCCTGATGCTGTCATCCATTCTGTGGAGGCGCCGTGAGCAGGTGAGAGGGACCCCGGGGACCCAGCCCCCTCCCCGCGCGGGTGGCGCTGTGCTGGGGAGGCGCTTGGTGGGTGCAGGTGGGCTGCGGGGTCACTTCCCAGAGGCCGCCGAGGGGGCTGCGGAGGGCAGCTGCCCACGGGGAACTGGAAGTAGCTAAAAGGTTCAGTCTCAACCCTCGACAGAATCATTGTAAAAAAATCTTGCTTTGCAGAAGGGACCTCTTGGCGGTGATCAGGAGGCCCAGGGGACCCCCGGCGATTCTGGCTGTTTACCAGAGGCTCAGTGCTTAGTGCTAGGTCCGGCAGCCGCCAGGCTGGCTGGAGTCACAGTGCCCGGGATTACTGTGCCACGAGTCCTGCCACAGAGGTGCTGTATTGTATCCTGCCCAGCAACATTTTACTGATTGATTTTTGTTTTGGGGTCACACCTGGCAGTGCTCAGGGGTTACTCCTGGCTCTGCTTGCAGGAATTAGTCCCACCGATGCTCGGGGGACCAGGAACTGAACCTGCTTGGGTCCGCCATGTGCAAGACAAGTGCCCTACCTGCTGTACTATCTCTCCCTTCCCACACCCCTCCCCCCATTTAATCTATTTTCCCCATTTTAATCTGTTTCCTTTCTCTCTCTACCCCATGGGTGGAGGGGTCGGACCTACTCCTTTCTTCTCTGCTCATTTCACCCCAAAGGGGTGAGGCTTCTGCATGTCTTTAGAGGCGACCTGGCCTGTCACAGACCCACAGTGTGTGCCACTGACTGTCACTGCGAGGCCTAAGGTCTGCCACATGCAGACCTAAGGACCTCAGTGGACAGAGACAGTTTCAAGCTTCCCATGCCTGAGAGCAAGTCTGTATGGACCCTCCTGCCCCCACCCCACCCCCACCCCCGTCCCCTAGTCCCCGAAAGTCACTTACTTCGTTCCTGGGTCGTCGTAGGAGGCCACCAGCACCAGAGCGTCATCCGGGACTTCTTTAAGGAAGGCCAGCAGGACCTTAGGGTCTGGGGTGAGGGAGAGAGGCAGAGGGGTGGTGGTCACGGAGAGGAGACCCTGCTTTGCTCACTCATTCAGGTTCTGGGGTGGGTTCTGGATGCTGGGGATTGGATATGTCTATTGGTGCTGAGGAGCAGTTGGGGTGTAAGGGGCTGAGCGCTGCTGCCCTGGCCCATGGAAGGCCACTTGCAGGGCTGCAAACGGGCCCCCCCCCCGGGATCCTCTGCCACTGTTGTAGGCTCCTATGGCGGGGGCTGGTGGGCAGAGAGTTGGCATAGTGAGATCAGATCCACCCCAGTTCTGAACGCTGCGTAAGGAGACCTTAGTCCCTATGATGCCTGTACTTTGCCAGGCCTGCGGGCAAGGAAACCCAGCTGGGCCAGCTCCAGCACGGGTAAGTCAGTGCCCCCTCACAGGACCATGTTAAGGTGTACCCATGTGACTAGAGCAGCTCAGGAGCACATGTGTGTGGAGAAGAAAGACCCAGAGAGCTTGTAGCCTCTTGGAGCTGTCCTCTGTGGGCCCCTGGAGGCTTCTGTCCTTGGGCTAACCAGAAAATTCCTGTCCCTTGAAACAACCTTAGTGCCCGAGAACAGATTAAAGAAACTTTGGTACATCTACACAATGGAGTACCATGCAGCTGTTAGGAGAGAGGAAGTCATGAAATTTTCTTACAAGTGGATGATTGTGGAGACTATCATGCTAAGTGAAATGACTCAGAAAGATAGGGACAGACATAGAATTTCTGCACTTATTTGTGGAATATAAAATAACATCATGCGAGACTAACACCCAAGGACAGTAGACACAAAGGCCAGGAATATTGCTCCATGGTTGGTAGCCTGCCTCATGAGCTAGGGGAGAAGGGATCACTAAGTCAATGATGGTTCAAGATATCATTCAGGATGGGAGACGTGTGCGGACAGAAGATAAAGGACCATATGTGATAGCCTCTCAGTATCTATATTGCAAACCATAGGGCCCCAAAGTAGAGAGAGAGTATGGGGTAAGTTGTCTGCCATAGAGGCAGGGGGAGGGCTGGGAAGGTGGGGGATACTGGGGACATTGGTGGTGGAAAATGTGCAGTGTGGAGGGATGGGTGATCGATCATTGTATGACTGAAACTCAAACATGAAAGCTTTGTAACTTTCTCACAGTGACTCAATTAAAAAAAAAAAAGGCCACACCCCCCCCCCCCCCCACACACACAAATCCCAATGACTTTTACCCCATGGAGAAAACCAGACCTCTTGCCCTCATCCATTGCACTCTGACGCACATCTGCCCTGCCTCCACTGGCCAGCACCTCATCGCTTTGCCTGAAGGTCTTTTTGGACCTTCATATCCTGTTTTGCACTCAGGGACCATCAGACAGCTGGCAGGTGCCCAGGAAAGAGGGTTAGGAGCACCCCAGCTCCCCTGTGCCCCTGGAATATCTCCAAGGCATGCATTTGACTCTGGTCCTGCATCCTCAGCAGCCCAGGGCTTGGTAGCTGATGGTCCCCCTCAGCCACTCTGCACTTTAGTTCATTTCAGCCTCTGTGCACTTGACTTTGTCTGTGTCTGGGAGAACCCAGGCAGCAGGACACCCTCAGCCCCCACAGCCCTCCTCTTTCCTGCTGGTCTTCCCTGGAACCAAGAGGAAATAGCACTGTCCACCCCTCAGGGTGCCTACCTCCAGAATACATATCAAAAGACCTGTACCTCAACGCCTTGCCCGTGGTTCCTGAGGAGAAAGAACAGAATGATTATTTCCTGCCAAGCATCGCTCCCTCTGTCATTTTTTGTGGAAAGAGGGTCCTTTTTAGTTTAAGGAATAAGAATAGAACAATGATGGACTAAAGTCAGGTCTTGTGGAAAGAGCTCAGGAGTTAAGTAGACGCTTAGTAACTGCGGGGCTGATGGGAGAGGAACAGACTGGGAAGGATGGTGGTGACTCTGGAATGGAATGGAATAAAGTGGGATCTAACCAATCTGGGTCTTCCTAGTATGAGAACCAATGAAATTTATTTATGTATTGGGTTTTGGGGCCACACTTGGTGCTCAAGGCTGACTCCTACTTTCGCACTCAGGGATCACTCCTGGTGGTGCTTGGGGGACCATATGCAGTGCCATGGATGGAATCTGGGTCAGTCAACATTCCAACAAAGCATCTTAATCCCTGGATTGTTTCTTCAGTGATAAACGGTATATATTTTCAATAGGTGAGCTGTATAAAAAATCATATGTAAAAATAATTTTTAGTAGAATAATTGTAGTGAAAGTTTCCACACCATTGTTATGATTTCCACATAAACAGAAAAAACTATAGTTTGAGTCTTCCACGCTCTTGAAGGCAAAGGTATTTCCAGTGGATCAGATGGTACTCGGTGTCCTGAGTCCAGTAAATGCAAGGAGTTTGTGGACATTACAGATCCTAAAGGGAATCAAGTCTTCTAGAAGATAGTCTCAGTTCCCACGCTCTACCATTAGATGGAGGTGTTGCAGAAGGGATGGAGACGCTACATGTCCTGTTTTCTTCCTCTCCCACCCCAGACTTCGGATTCCTGAAGCAGGTGGGCATAGGGATCTGGGCAGTGGCGGGCCTCTCTCCTGCTGGTGGGTGGGGACAGTACTCACCTTGCAGCCCCCGCTGAGAGCCACTGGTGTCTGAGCACCAGGGGCATTTTGTTTGGATCCCTAATAAATCTTGACCCTATTTATTTATGGCCTTTTTTTTCTGGAAGTGCTGGTGGAAATGTGGTTTGGGCAGTTTTAGGGGCAGCTCCATGCCTCTGATGAACCAACCATCTTCAGCAATGTTTTCAGATGAGCCCTAGGTGTCCCCGAGTGACAGCTGGCCTGCAGTGGGTGCCGTGTGCTTGCCTAGAGACACATCTAGCTGGGGGAGGTCGTTGAGCTGAAGAAGTAAGGCCTGATCTAGGTCATTCTTTGGGCTCATTGCTCACCCTCCCTGAGTCTCCCTCCCCATCTTCCCTGGAGCACAGGTGTACTGAGCAAGGCTTCACTCCAGATCACCCTAAGGCTGAGACGAGCCAGGGACCAGGAAATGGCTTAAACAGTGCTGACCATCAGCGTTATGGACGGTTGTTTTCATCAGTGGCTCTTGTGCAGGGAAGCTCCAGCTCCTTTCAGCCAGGTCAGCCAGGTCAGCCCTTTCCTGCCCTCTCCCCTTCACGGGGTGGGGCTTGAGGGAAGGGAGGAGGGGGGATTGTGAGGAAAAAGAAAGCTCCTTTGTAGTCTCTGGTGTCAAGCCTGCCTCAGCAGAGCGCTCTGAGACCTGCCCCCCACTGGAAGGAGGATACAGGCTTCTCCTCAAGATTGCAGAGGAGAGTGACCCAGCTCAGCCTCCCTGCCTCCCAGCCCAGCTCCTCTCTGGCTCCCAGGAAGTTGGCCACCTTGCCCTCGGGCCCAGTGAGACAGGGCTGTGTGTCAGCTTCAGTCCTTGGCCCTGACCTGGCAGGACGTGCTGGCGAAAGGAAAGGGTTCCTTGAGAAGCGAAGAGCCAGGCTATGATGCTGGCACGGTTGGGGTTCACTTCTTAAGGGGGCTCATGTCCTCTACAAATGGACCTTTTCACACCTGAGCATTCATGATCCACTCCCCCCGCCTTCAGTTTTAACACGGAGAGTGTCTCTGAGTCTCTGAGCTGCAGAGAATGGGGAAATGGTTCTTATTCTTGTTTGAAAGCCAAGGCAATGGGGCCAGCAAGTGGGGGTGGGTTGGTGCGGGGGTGCGGAAGGGTTTGAGCCTCAGTTGATCCTGGTAGGCTACCCTGTCCCACGTGGTGTCCCTGACCCCTCTGCTGATTACTGTGGGGACTCTGGGGCTCTCTCCTGTGCTTCCCTACCTCCTGTGCCCTGGCCCGGGGGATGAGTGTTTCTGGCATGGAAACTGGCCTTCAGGCCCCTCTCAGAGCCTTGTCAAGTCTCCTACTGCCCTCTTCTCCAGGTCTGTCTTCCCAGAAGGACACATAGCCCTTCATCTACCAGCCCTGCTGCTATCCCAGGCCTGCTCTCACCCCTGCCAGCTTCTATGCCGCAACCCCTTGAACCTGTCTCTGCTCCATGCACAGGGCTGCCCTCGCTGGAAGGAGCCTCCTGGCCAACGCTCCTGTTCTCAGGCCTCAGCCTCCTGTAAGTCCCTCTCACCCCAACTCCCAGAGCCCATTACATTATGGCTCTCAGGGAACTGCATGGAGTCCCCTGGGTGCTGTGAAGCGGTGTGTGTTCTTCTGGCTCATAGCTGATTTCCCAGTGCCCTGTTCCAAACCTGGCCCCCAGGGGCTGCTGTCACTATTGACTGACTGACTGAATGAATGAGGCATGCACTGCTTGCCCTAAGTTGTCCTGTGTGTAGGTCTGAGCCAAGACCCGAGGCTGCCGTCACATTTCAGGGTCCTGGGCTGGGATAGAAGCACATGCACGATTCGGGCCTGGCCAGAGCTGCAGGCAGGACCCCTCCTAGCCCTTCCCGAGGAGCACTGGCATCTTGGGGAGCACTGGGGGCAGGGGCTGTTGGGAATTGGCAGCTCACCGTTCACCAGGACAATGTTCAGGCCTCGGCCCACGTTGTTTTGCACAGGACTCATGATCCTGAGGAAGAAAGACAGAACACACGGGTGGGTCCTTGTGTGGAGTGGATGCTGATGGGGATTTGAACTTCCCGAGTTGTCTGGGCCACCCCCTGCCTCCTGCAAGGGCAGCCTGGGCTGGTTTCTTGGACGGGTCTCAGGCACAGTTGGCTCTAGAGTCACTCTGGGAGAGGGAAGGAGGTTTGGCCTGTGAGGGCCCCAGGGGCAGGACCAGTCCACCCTCCCCACCCCCACCCCCCCACCTCCGCCCCAGATGCTGCCTGAGGAGGGCAGGGCCTAGAGAGCTGCTGCCATCCATGCGTCTGGCTCTCCCACCCCCATGGGCAGCCTAGGCCCTGGTCTCCCACAATCCTCAGTCATTCTAGCCTCCCTCCAGCCCTGAGGGCTGGCAGTTCTCAGGGCTCCACCAGTGCTCCTGGCTCTGTGCCTACATGGGTACATCCCAGTGGCTTCAAGCTTGGGTGCTGTGCAGGGAGAATCCAGATAGCAAAGCTGTCTTCTCCAGTGGCCTCTGTCCTTTTTTTTCCTTCCCCCCCCCTTTTTTTTTCAGTAGAGAAAACAGAGTCGAATGGAAGAGGAAAGCAAATCTGGAGCTGAAGTGTCAGGGAGGAGTTCTTGTTTGAACTTCTGGATCCCGCTCATCCTGCAGCCCACTGCAAACCACTAAGCTTCCAGTTTTGCCCAAGTTGGTTGGTGTAGGTTGAAAGGACTAAGATACCGGTTTCTGCCTTTTCTTGTTGGATGAGCTTCTCTTGGGGCCTTTAGTACCTGGGTTGGAGGATGGTGCAGTCTTTTTCAGAACAAGCAGAAGCTCTGACACTTGGCTGTATCTTGACTTTGATGCCTAGACCTTTTCTTTCCTTTTAAATTGTAGTTGAGATAACATAGTTACAGTAAAATTAATGCATGTGCTTTTGGTCATTGTCACTGTCACTGTCTCCCCTTGTTCATCGATTTTCTCGAGCTGGCCCAGTAACATCTCCATTGTGAGACTTTGTTTTTACTGTGTTTGGTATATCGAATACACCATGGGGAGCTTTCCAGGTTTTGCCGTACGGGCGAGATACTCCTGGTAGCTCGCCAGGCTCTCAGAGAGGGGCGGAGGAATCGAACTTGGGTTGGCCATGTTGGCTGTGTGCAAGGCAAACGCCCTACCCGCTGTGCTATCGCTTCAGCCCTTTGGTTGTGCTGTGCTATAGCTCCAGTGCTTTTGGTGTGCCAAGTTATTGCGACTCCCCAATATCTAAGTGCCCAACCCCCTCCTCCACTGTCTAAGCTTATGTCACATCCAGTTGACTTTTTCCCTCCCCACTCAGACCTCCTCCCCCTTTGCCACAGCTCGACTAGAAAAACTCAGTTCTGTAGTTGAGGTCCAAGGGTTTATTATCATCAAAACTGTCAATTCCCTTGCTTTATTTCTTTATATATTACAGAGGAGGGAGATAATCTGGTATTCATTCTTCTTCTTAGGACTTATTTTGCTCAACGTGTTACCCTGTAGCTCCACACACATTTTGACAAAAGGCAGATTTCATCTTTTTTATTTTTAAAAGTTCAGTACTTTTCTACTGTGTGTATATACCAAAGCTTTGTTACCTGCTCATCCAATGTTGAGCATTTGATTTGTTTCTGCATCTTATCTAGAGTACTTAACACTGTGAGGAACCTCTTCCTTCAGTGTGTATCTCTTCAAGCTAAGATTTTTGTATTCTTAGTATAGATGCCAATGAATGCAATTTCTTGGTCATATGGAGGTATGATGTTTAATTTGGGGGTCTCCATGGTTTTTTCCACAGAGGCTGAATCAGAAGACACTCCTGCCAATAGTGAGTGTGGGTTCCTTTCACATCCCATCCCCCACCACACCCTCAAGGCTGGTTGTTTCCTTCCTTTTGGACATGGGCCATTCTCATTTGTATGAGATATCTCATTGTTTTGATTTGTCTTCTCCTGATAATAAGTGATGATGAATACCTTTTCATATTCCTATTGGTCATCCCTATATCTTCTTTAAGAATTTCCTGTCCAGGGGCTGGAGAGATAGCACAGTGGGTAGGGCGTTTGCCTTGCAGGCGGCCGACCTAGGTTCGATTCCCAGCATCCCATATGATCCCCTGAGCACCACCAGGAGTAACTCCTGAGTACAGAGCCAGGAGTAACACCTGTGCATCGCCGGGTGTGAACCAAAAAAGCAAAAAAAAAAAAAAAAAAAAAAAAAAAAAGAATCTCCTGTCCATCTTTGCTCATTCTTTGGATGGGATTACTTTTTGTTGTTATTGTTGAATTTTGCAAGTGCTTTATTTCTCTTGGATGTTAGCTCTTTTATTTTTGGATTATGTTTTATTTTGTTTTGTTTTGGGGTCATATCCAACAGTGCTCAGGGGTGTCTCTTGGCCCTGCACTCAGGAGTCACTCCTGGTGGTAATCAGGTGACCATCTGGGATGCCTGCCGAGGATCGAACCTGGGTTGGCCGCTTGCATGGCAGAGAGCCTACCCTTTGTACTATGGCTCTGGCTCTGCATGTTTATCCAGCTCTTTACCTAGTGTGTGGTGTGCAAATATTCTTCTCCCATTCAGTTTATTTTAACTCAAGTTTATTCTTTTCAGTATAAAAAATTTCAGTTTGATGCAGTCCCATTTTTTTTTTTTGGTTATTGTTTCTGCCAATGGGTTTAAATCAGGACACATCTGAGGTCTATGTCCTCCCTATATCCCGGAGAGTTCTGCCTGGATTTTTTTCCCCCACTATATCTTTTATGGGGTCCAGTCTACTATCAAGGTCTCTAACCATTATGAAAGCCAGAGAGAGTACAGTGGGCAGAGTACTTGATCCCTGGCACTTTGTATGGTCCCCTGATTCCTGGCAACAGTGATCCCTGAGTGCAGGGCCAAGAGTAAGCACATAGCCCCAAAACAAAACAACAAAAAGACCATTATGAACTAACCTTTGTGTGCGGTGTGAGATAGGGGTCCAGTTTCCTCTCTCTCTCTCTCTCTCTCTCTCTCTCTCTCTCTCTCTCTCTCTCTCTTCTTTATGGCACTATTTAGTTTTCCTAGCACCATTTGTTGAAGAGGTTTTCCTTGCTCCACTTCATGCACTTGACTCCTTTGTTATTGACGAACTGTCAGACATCTGAAGGCTTACATCTGAGTTCTCAATTCTAGTTTGTTGTGGACCTTAATCTTGAACACTTCCTGTGGAAACCCAGCAGCCTTGTTGTCAGCAGACCTGCATTCAAATCTTGGCTATCACCATTTAGTACGGTGGCTCTTGTCCTAGCTCAATTTCTTCAGCTTTAGAAAAGGGATAATAACAGCCTTACTTCTGGAGTACTGGGGGATTGAGGCAGTAGAGCATTCACCAAGGACTTCACAGACACAGAAGCTGGCAGGACAGGTCTTTAGAGAGAAAAGGAGATCCACGGAAGGCACTGGCCGGTCTCTGAGACCGGCTTCCGCAGCCCCTGAACTTGCTAAGGAATGGCTGAGTGAATGAATGAATGAATGAAGGACAGAATGGAAACCGAGGGGCCTCCCCAGCACTTACATCTCATTTTCGAAGCAGATGGAGGGGCCCACCACATTGGCAGCCCCGCTTAAGAGTTTGAATGCGAACTTGTTGCCTGGACAGGGCTTGCTGAGGTCACACTTGTATTTCACCACCTCTGGGGAGGAAACAGACCAACCTTGGTGGCTGCCACTGCAGAAGAAGCTCAGGGAATGAGGAAGGGGGTGACCCAGGGTGCAGGCACAGGATCCCTGTTCCCAAGCCTCCTCCCCGAGCATCTCTCTTGGACCATCAAAGACGCATCTTTCTTGGGCCATCTAAGACGGGAGAGGGGTCCCTTCCGGTGCATCCACCCTGCCTCCAACAACCCCACCAAAGGCCAGGCACACAAGCTCTGTGTCTGCACACCCAAAGCACCTTCTGGTTTATGCATCTGGGCTCCAGCCCCACGTGGCCTGGCTCATACAGGGTATTGGGAGGAAGAGGTAGGGGAATCTGGTGCCCTAGCACTGTCACTGTGACGAAGGGATTCTCTTGAGAACCTCCCTCTTGAGCCCCAGCAGCCTTTTGAGCTCCCAGAGGCCCCTCTGACAACCTCTTTGGCGGGAGGGCAAGCACATGGGTGGGGTGCAGCCGCAAGTGTTCAACCACTTGGGTCTTTAACTTCCTCATCTGAGAAATGGAATAATTCCGGTGCCTTCCCTCTGGGTTCTGTGAGGGATAAAGGAGAACAGGCCAAGGTTGTTGCGATTCTCATCCATCCGCCCCTCACACCCTGGGCACTGCTGTGGCTGGACCTCAGGAGACAATAGGAATGGCCAGTCCTGGCTCTCTTGGATAAAGCTTGGACCCCACTGAGAAACCTGTGTTGCCCCTCTCGTTGTGGGGGCTGCTTTAAGGCTCATCTTCTCTCCATGCAGTCCTCACAGCCCAGGAGGCTTCTAATGAGACCCTACCTGGATGGAACCCCCACACAGCCCTGGATCTGCATATCCTGCTCAGGATCTGGGCCAGCTGGGACTATCCCAGTGCACTCAGCCTGACAGGTTTGAATTAGTGTCAATGCATGTTTCCTACCCTTTCCACTGGAAGGCCCTGGGAGACATGATATAGAGTATGTTCACCTGCAGAGTGGGCCTCGGGCAGCCCCAGGTAGGGCCCCTGCATGAGCCCAGCCTGCATGACTGACTCAGAGCAAAACTGCAGCGCCTCATGGAAGCTGGTGCACTGTCTTGCCCTACCCCAGCCCTTGGCAAGCACTTTAGATTCGTTCCTGTGCCCGGAACATTGTATACTCCATGAAGTCTGAGCACATATGGCCCCGGGTGGGGCTTGGAGGCCTCCCATGGACAGGGGCACCGGGTCTCTGAAACCCGGGCAAGCCTGGAGGGAGCTTGTGTGTGAATCAGGAGAACCTGGGGGACACAGCCCCAGGGGAGGTTTGGTGAGTGCTTGTCACCTGTGAGTTAGTCATGGCGCCCTGACTGAGTCGAGTGTCACCCATGCGGGCAGCTGCTAGAATTGGGCCCCCCTTGGAACATGCCTGTCTTGGGCTCATCCTCCAGCCTTCCCTCAATCTCAGCTCATCTGTCGTCAGTGAGATCAGATCTCAAACTGGGATTTCTCCCAGGGGGATGGAGGGAGTGGAGACCCCAGGAAGTGCTATTCAGGAGAGAATGGGCATCAGGCTTTTCTCAGGAGAGTGGAGTGGACTGGGACAGGTAGACCTGACTCTCCTTCCCCACTCCCTCCCCCAGCCCCTGACTTTCAGCAAGGAGCTGGCTGAGGAGGGATCCTCCTCTTCATCTTCTTTTTTTGGGTGGGGGGAGTGTGAGGGGGCATACCTGGCAATGCTCAGGGCTTTCTCCTGGATTTGCATCCAGGGATCATTTCTATTCGGATCAGGGGACCATTGAGAGTTCTAGGGATGAAACCCAAGCCAGTCACTTGTCAGGCAAGTGCTTTACCTGCAGTGCTATCTCTCTGACCACAACGTCCTCTTTTATATGTGGTGAGGCCCCACCTGTGGCCACAGACCCCTAAATTTGGGGAGCCAATTTACTCTTGGGACCAGAGCTTGCCACCAAGGCCAGAGTGATTATTCCAGGCCTCAGGAACAGCCTATGCAGTGTGCCAGCGTCTAATCAACTGCAGCTAAGCCTGCTAAACCCAGTGTCAACAGGTCGGCTTAAGCAGACTTTTCTGGAATCGATTTTCTGACCAACCAGCCTTCACAGTCAGGATGTTGGGGGAACTGGGATGTGCCCAGGGTTCTTAGCCACTGGGAAAAGGACTTTTTGCTCTGGATCTGGGCTCAGAGGGCTGTCCCACTCACTTCCCAGCTGCTCTGGGAACACTGAATGGTTTTGCTCAGAGTATGTTGCTGAGTGCTGGTGTGTTCTTCAGCAATCTGCTCTGTGACTTAGGAAGAATCTCTCCACTTGGCTCTGCTGCCTGTAAAATGAGGGGGGTGGTTTCACAAGGGCTGTGAAGTAGGGTTCCTCTGAAATGTCCACGGAACCACTGTTTGAGGCTTCAAGACTGTGCTTGAGGCTTACTGTGGCTTAGCAGGCAAGCGCGAGATTCATTGGCGATGTCTGCCATGGGAGCAGGCAGGGTGGAAGGCCCCCCCCTGTGTGCTTGGATTTGGGACTCCGTACGGCTGATAATACCGGCAGATTTTTATCTGCATATTTCAGCAGAAGATGCTATCACTTAGTGTCTACTTCAGAGAGGGGGTGGGTCGGAGGTTTGTCTTGATTCTGTAAGCAACCTGTGCTCTGTGGAGTCCCACAGTGCACTGGGGCTGCCATGCCCATCTCAGTTGGATAAGATCCTGTCTGCTCCCCTCCTCATACACCATCAGCTTGTGAACCAAGCTGGGGCAGATGGGGCTGTAGTTACCTTTTCAAAGAGGTGTTGAGTGAGTGGACTCTAATCTAGAGAAGTTGACCCCTGCTCCACTTGAGCTGGATTCTGTGGCTCTGGGCCTCAGTGTCTCCAGCTATAAAATGGGCATACTTCTAGTACCGACACAGGGTTGTGGGGAGGATAGCCCGAGAGGCCTGTAGAGTTATGAATACAGTGTCTGGCCCATAGTAGGCATCAATCATCATCATCATCGTTATTGTCGTCATTATCATAGCTTTCCCTCTTTTCCGCCTTCTCTGCTCTTGGTGGCTGCGGTCCAGGCTGAAACCTTGTTCAGATGCCAACAGTGGTGGGCCACTGCACTCCTCACCTCAAGCTGTCCCTGAGCTTATCCCTCTGGCAGCCCACCCTGGAGCCCAAAGCTCTTCTCCCACCTCCCTTTTGTGGCACATCTCCCTGCAGAGACAATCAGCACCCTTTCCTGCTGGCCTGTGGGGGACCCTGTGGCATCCATGCGGCCCCTAGCACCATGGAGCAGACCTGGGGTCAGAGCAGTAGTGAGAAGCCCAGTCCCCTCCTCAGAGCCTGGGGGGCGGCAGTGTGGGGTAGTTCTGTGACAAGGAAGGCAGGGTGCAGCCTAGATTTTCCTCTGGGGAGGGTCACATCTGACCCTTCCATGCTGGTCTGGCAGGCTGAGAAGGGACCGGCATGGCCCAGGGGCTTCAGAGGGTCCTGACTGGTCATGGGAGGGGACAGTTGGAGGACTCTGGAATACGAGGGCAAGGGGGTGTGCAGGGACTGGGGATACTCACTCATTTCCTTGTGGGATGAAACTGTGGGAGAGATGACAGAATTCAGTTAGAGAGGAAGAACACCCCCATGGCCCCCCAGCCCCCCACAATGGAGCTTGGAGGTTGGGAACTGGGGGTGAGATAAGGGGCCTAACAGTGGCACTCACTGGGTGACCAAGCAGGGTCCCCCACGTGCTGGTGTGGGAATGAACAAAAGCCTTATGACATCTGGGGTCCTCTCTCACTCCCCACCACAACTCCTTTATACACAGACATGCACACAGACACATACATACATGTACATGTGCGCATGAACACAGAGACATACAGACAAACATGTATATACAAACATGCACCACACAGACACACAGATGTGCACATATATGCGTGCACATATATACAGGCACACAAACATACACACAATTAAACAAGCATAGACACATGCATACACATATATCCAAAGGCACACATACAAATGTGCACATATAAACAGATACACAAGCATACACACTCACACAAGCATAGACACATACATACACATATACCCAAAGGCACACATACACATGTGCACATATATATAGATACACAAGCATACACACAAACACAGACATGAATATGTGTACACAGGCACAGGCAGACGTTCAGACCCACGTACAAATGCCACCCAGCTCGCTGACTACCAGCGGGGACCTTTGTTGCTCTCCCCCAGGTGGAGGGGAATGTGTAGGAGGTCACCCCTTGGGGACTCAGCCCTATGCTGTCCCCCCACCCCACCCCCTGCCTCAGTAAAGGGCAGGACCCTGCTAATGTTGTCCACAATGGACTGGGGTGCCTCTTTCCTGATTCCCACTGTCTCCCTGGGTTTGGTGCCCATGGCCACTCCCTTACTCACTTATCTTTCCTTTTTACCACATGTTCCTGAAGTTCTTAGTCACAGTCCCCCCAAGTGACAGTATGTCCCTGTGCACGCTGAAAGGTTGGATGGATTTACCTTTCGGGGAGAACCCTGAACTAGAGCCTGTTGCTTGATCCTTCAGGAGGACCCCTTCCCCGCACTGACTCTTGGCTGAGAAGCCATACAGGACTGCTGGTCACTGCACCCCATTCCTTGAGATGCCTTCCCTGGGAGCCATGTGGAAAGTTGGGTGCTGTCATGCCTGTACCAGGGGAAGGGGCTGTGGAATGAGGCGAAGAAACAGCCTGCAGAGGCGGGCATGCAAGAGACAGACTCTGGGGACTTGGTGGGGGCCCCTAGATCCAGCCACCCCTGAAACCCACTACCCATGTAGGACCCGCCTGTATGTTTCAGGACACCCTATTTCCTTGCCTTTAGTTTGAGTTGGGCCTGTCAGCCCCAAGTGAAAGAATCTAGCCTATTTTGCCAGGTAAACCAGGAATTCATAATCTCCTACCCGTGCCATGATCTCTTTGGAGGCTTGAGAACTTTCTTAAAATGAATTTTTTCCCAGCTCTCTTGAGACACTTGGCACTTCCTACTTCAACTTATTAAATGCATAAAATAAAATAGATTGAATTATAAAGGAAACGATATATCAACATAATTAGAAAAGCATTAAAAATTAATTTGTGTTGCCTTGATGTATGTGCTTCTATAGGAATGCATTAAATAATAAAATGAGTGTAAGTGCAAACAGGTTAGATTCTGAGTGGAACACGGCCCCTGGCCACCAAGCTATCTTCCCATCCTATACATCTGTGTTTGTGTTTCCTGAAAGAATCTTCTCACTTCTTTGGTTCAAATCATAGCAGGCGTCACATGATCCTCATCTTGGGATCCCTGGCACCTACCTCAAAATAGCCTTTTGATAATCTTTGTTGGGGGCATGGATATGACAAATCCCAAAGAGTTGATTTCTGAGAGGGAAATGATTTCTGCGCCTCCTTTCCCACTCTCTGGTCTTGTGGCTTGAGCTAGGGCCCCCTCCTGTAGAGACCCTCTTGGGGCTGCACTGTTGCTCACCAGGGTCCCACTGATCCTTGAACGAAAGATGGGGTGACTGGTTTCTCTCTCCTTTTGTAGACTGGTGAACATGATTCGGCCACTAATTTCGACAATCTCCATCTCTGAGATCTTGGTAGCACTGCACTGTAGCACTGTCCTTCTATCATCGATTTGCTCCAGCGGGCACAGTAACGTTGCACAACAAATTGTGAGACCTGTTGTTACGTTTTTGGCATATTGAATACATCAAAGGTATTGTTACTGTGCCAAACACAGTAACAAGACTCACAATGTTACTGGGCCCGCTCAAGCAAAATCGATGAGATCTTGGCTTTTTTTTTTTTTTTTTTTTTTTTTTTTTGCTTTTTGGGTCACACCCAGCAATGCACAGGGGTTACTCCTGGCTCTTCACTCAGGAATTACTCCTGGCGGTGCTCAAGGGACCATATGGGATACTGGGAATCAAACCCGGGTTGGCCTTGTGCAAGGCAAATGCCCTACCCTCTGTACTATTGCTCCAGCCCCTAGATCTTGGTCTTTAAGAAGGGGAAAAAAATAGGATTATAAATTCCTTCTCTTCTTTCCTTGCATTATTTTGTGTGTGTGTGTTTGTGATTTCAATAACCAAACCTAGGCCCTTACACACTCATGACAAATGCTCCATCACTATAACTTTCGGGTTCCCATTCTTCTTCCTATTCTGACAAATACAAACAGGATTCGAGTAAGTTTTTCGATCTTCCTGAGCTTTTCTTTTCTCAGACCATAGAAAACTGCCCTGTGAATCACCCATGGGACATTTATGTAACGTAAATGAGACTATGCATGTAAAGTAGTTAGTGTCACTTATCCATCAGCACCCCATGCACCCACAATCATCATCTATCCATCCATTCTTCATCCATCCATCCATAACCCATTCATTCATCCATTACCCATCAATCCATCAACTGATCCATTGATTGATCAATCACCTACCCATCTATTATTTACCCATTCATCTATCCATCCATCCTCTATCTATATATCCATCTAACAAACCAACCACCATTCATCTATCATGCATTAACTTTTCTTTCATTTTTTTTTGTTTGTTTGTGGGCCATACTTGGTGGTACTCAAGGACTACTTCTGGCTCTGTGCTCAGGGATTATATGAGGTTCTGGGGACCAGATCTGTGTCAGGTGCATGCAAGGCAAGTGGCCCTACCAGAGGTACTATTGTTCCCAGTTGGGGGAATTTCTGCTTCACTTTCTCTCTGGAGAATTCTTCTCTTGATCTTCATCTCTCCTCACCTCAATAGCTGAGGGATCAAAGACAAGCCCATCCTCTGCCATGTCTGGTTATGTCCTGGGTCCCCCTAGGGGTGGTGGGATGGAGGGAGTGGAGATCCTTGCCCCTTGCTCCATCCACAGGCCCTCTCCCCACTCACCTATCCAGCGAGGCAGGATGATCCTTGTTGTGTTAAACCTGGGATATTTGTGAATGAAGAGCCACAGGGCGCCCAGGGTGATAATGAGAATCAGGAAGCGAATCAGAGCTGCAGAGCAAGGAGAGGAGGTCGTGACTTCCTGGGGCAGGATCAGGTACAGAGCATGAGGGAGACTGTGCCAAACTCTCTGGCCAAGTGAGGCTGGGTTGCCTGGCCCCGTGTGATAGGGTCAGACCCCATTTGTACCCTAAATCATGTGGGGAGACCACCTGGGAAACCACATGATGATCAAGGGGTGAGATCGTGCTACATTAGTACATGCCGACATGCCCCAAAGTGAGACCTGTGAGGGGAGAACGTGGACTTCACGTGGCCCTCTGGAAAAAGTCTCTAGAGGGTAGGCCTGGGACTTGGCACTATGGCCCTGCGTGCTGCCAGGAGGTGGAGGGGACTGTATTTGTGCTGTGGACAGCCTGGAAGGTGAGTCTCAGCTGGGAGCTGGGAATGCCGAGCCCAGAGTATAAGGCAGCTTCCACTGCTGTGCAACCGCAGACAGGAGCTCGACCTTTCTGTGCTGTGTTTCTTACTCACAGAGTGGGCATGTTGTAACTGTCACCAGGGAGCAGGCCCAGGGTGGTTTGGGGGAATGTGTTGCTCCCCCGTATTTTTATCAGCACCCTGTGGAAGTCACCGCAATGAGATATACAATGTTGCCCTCTACAACACACACTGGGCATGTGAGGAGTGGGTGGCCTCCCAGGCCCCCCAGCCCCACTACACACTGGCTGTCTAGATATTTGTGGATGGACCCGATGGGGTCTTACCACTCAGACTCCCTGTCCTTCTCCCCTTCCTCACTCCTTCAGGTGGGCCTGGAGCTTCCAACCCTTTCCCAGCTCTAGCCTCTTCAGAATTGATTCCAAGCTTCCTTCCTCCTTCCCACAACCCCCTCTTGACTTCACTCTTTCCTATTCTGAAGCAATGCAGCCTTTAGCTACATAGAGGTGGACTGGGGTGGAGAAGGTCCCTTGGACCCTGTGGCAGTGGGGTATGTGGCATGGGGTATGTGGGGTCCCTCCTCTTTTGGGGTTCAGCGTGGATTGGGGTAAAGTAAGTAAGTAAAGGCCCTCCCGTTGATCATCGATTTGCTCGAACGGGCCCAGTAACGTCTCCATTGGAGACTTTGTTGTTACTGTGTTTGGCATATCGAATACGTCACAGGGAGCTTGCCAGGCTCGATTGGAGTACTTTGAACCAAACTGGGGTCTGCCACAGCGCCCCTTCCATGTCAGGTGTAGGCTGTTGTGAACAGCATGTGCAATAAGGTCAGTCTCCCTCTTCACGGCCACCCCCTGGGCTGGATGTTGACAGTGCTCAGAGGAGGATACTGAGCTGCTTGGAGAGGTGCTCATTTGGCTGGTAAGGGACTAGATTGGTTACCAACCCAGGGAAGCTCACAGATTCCCAAACTTCCGCTCTTCACTCTCTCATGGGCTATTTGGGACTACAAATGTGGTGCCTCAGTTTATCTGTACTAAGAGGATAGGCGGGGATGGGTAGACTTTAAGATCAGGGCCTCTTCTCTCACCCAGGTCCCATGAATAGTCTAGGTCTCTTTCCTTGTGGCCAATATTTTTTTCCTTGCTTCCCATAAGAATCAGTAGTTTCCAGGATGGACTGGCCATGGCCAGTCCCACTGGTCTCACTAAGTGGGGCATTTGAGCAAGATTTCTCCAGCCCTTCAGCCTAGAGACATGAAGTCACCTTCTCTACTTGAGCAGATCCCCTGCATTGACATTCCCCGGCAATTCTGACCCGACATTTTGAGAACGGGTCAAGTCAAATGACTTTCAAGTACAGCCAGGTTCAGACCTTCTTGTGATCTAGGTCCCTTAGAGAAGCTCTTACCTGAGGCCCTCATCCTGAGCAGGGGAAGAGCAGTTTGGGGTCAGCGTGAGCCTGTGAAGAGAGGAGAATCCAGTTGGGAAGTTGTTTGTGGAATCTGAGAGTTCGCGGAATTGGAGTTTAGGGTTAGCCTTTCAGTTTAGTTCTTCTCTGTCTGCTTTATGAAGCAGAGGGCACTCTCCTTCTTTCCTTTCCTGATTCTACCTTTCTTTCACTTATCCTCCTGGAATTTTATACTCAATTCAACATATCTGTTTTGAGTCCTGAGCCTGAAAAGGAAATTTCACTGGCAGTGGAAATTGTGTAAATTGGATTTAGGGGGCTCTATTCAAATAAAATACATTTGTTTGACCTACCCAACTCTCTGTTCACCCACATGTCCATTCACCCACATGCCCATCCATCCATCCATCCATCCATCCATCCATCCATCCATCCATCCATCCATCCCTCTAGTCAGCCAAGAGACATTGAGCTTGCTAGCCCCAGCAAAAGTACTTGACAGCAGAATGCTCTAGTGAGCTCTGCTGATTAATAGAAATTGAGAGTAACCATCACTCATACATTAGGTGAAATTGTGCTAGACTCTGTCTAATCCTTCATTTTAGGGGTTAGAGACTGTCTAGAACTGCGACTCACCAGCTCACCTGAACTGCGACTCACCAGACTCACCAGCTTTAAAATCAGGACTACTCCTCTAGCAAAGGTCCAAGTCAGAATTTAGAGCTGCTGTCCCACTGCTAGTGCTTTATGTCTCGACGGAGGGTCAGAACCAAAATCTACCCGCTTCTTGAGTTTTGAGGTCTTGGGGAGGAGTAGGGTCCTTGCCAGCCCCATCTCTTCTTTTAGTCACTACTTGGGACTGGGAAATTCTATGCAGTCTAACAGCTACGACCCCTCACCCTGTTCTGAGGTTTCTGGAGACTCACACAGAAGTGGGTGGTAACTATCCCAGGTCTTGGACCCAGCCAGCTGGAAATTCTCACTAACTGCAGAAACTTACTCTATTACTCTTCCTGCCTCCTCCCCACCCCAGAATTTTATTTATCTTTAAGAATCTATCTTAACAGACATGGTCTCCAAAGACCAACTGCCAAGGACCCAGACAGAGAGAGGAGACTGGCCTTAATGCCAGACACAGAGGTCATGGCATTGGGTCACTGCTGATGTTTAACTAACAGCAACTGTGAAAGCAAATTTACATCTCCTAAGGAGAATTCTAAACCTCCTCTCACACACCTTGGCCATAAAGGTGAGAAAAATGAGCTGTCCCCAGGTTCCAATGACTGAGATTTTACAAAACTTTAACTTTCTGAAATTCAGATTTTCACTCTTCTCATTCCAAATATGTGAGCATGTTGGGCTTTTGAATGTTCTTGGGATGTGACTTATGGTCCAGGAGTCAGGCTTCTAGCTAAAACTTAAAGGACATTCTACTGGGAAGGGGTTTCCTGTGTATGGATGACATACACACAGGAGAGTTGCAGATGGGACAGAAAGGATGGATGTCGACAGGTGACAATAGTGCAGACAAACAAGAATATTCACAGAAAGTGCACAGAGTTAAAGCTAGCGACACAGAGACAAGGGCATGGGGACAGGGAGATAGAGGAGAGAGGGGGAGAAAAAAGAGTGAAATGGAGAGAGAAGATGGGGAGAGAGGGAAGGAGATAAAGGATGTGGAGAGAAGAGGAGAGTAAGGGAGGGAGAGAGAGACTAGGAGACAGAGGGAGAGAGACTTAGAGGGGACAAGAAACAGGACTAGCTAGGTAGAAAGAAACCAAGGGAGAAAGAACAAGACAGAAGCAAGGGTGGGACTGGGACAGAGGACAAGAACAGATATAAAGAACAGATGTTCAGTACATACAAGGGAGAAAGACGATGGCATTAAGAAGAAAAGGAGAGGGGCTGGGGAGATAGGTCAAAGGGCTGAAGCATGGTCTTTGCATGCACGAGGCCTGGGTTTGATTCCCAGGACTCCAAGGACCCCTGAGTACCACCAGGAACAACCCCAAGAGCATAGAGTCAGAAGTACCCCCAGCACCACTCTCCTGGCTCACCCACCAAGCAAAGGGGCAGAGGACAGAGGTGGAGAGTGAGTACGTACCTGGGCAAGGTCTTCTTATCATCTCGCTCATGTCAAAGAGCATTTGGCTTCAGGGAGGGGTAGGAAAGGGCAGGATAGCAAGGGCTCTCCCAGCCCGATGCCCCTGAGTTGATCCCCACCTACTCAGTCAGCACCTAAGGGGCGTCCTGTATCCTGAGTCTCCAACCAACTGTTACTCTGGTTGGGGCAGCCAACCCATGAGAGCTTGAGCATGACTGGCCTTCAGCGGGGGAAGGAGGAAGGCAGAGTCCTGGGGCTGGGTGGGAGGGACAGCTCAATTCTTTCCCAGCCACTCACTACCACAAGGAAGAAAGAAACAGTGTGTTCCTGGATCCTGTTGGGGCATGGGCACAGCCTGTTTTTCAGGTTGTGGGGCAAAGTTATTGGAGAAAGGTCTATGTGCTGACCGAACTGGGTCAGACCCAGGCACAATGGTGCAGGGTTGCTTGTGTTCACAAGATATGCATGGCAGGGTGCATAGGTGGGGACATGGGTGGGGAGTGGAGCAGCAGGCATTGCTGAGAACCTCTTCTCTCCTAAGTGACCCTCGGAGCCCAGGGTCCACCCACCCTCTGTCCTTGGGCCTGTTCCTTCTGCTTCCCCAGACCCCTCTGACGGCTGGTTTCCACATGCATACCATGCTTTCTTTTTTTTTTTTTAATTAAAAAATTTATTTTACAGACTTACAAATTTTCGTGATTACGTTTCAATCAAACAATGTTCAAGTACCCATCCCTCCACCAGTGTCCATTTTCCATCACCAATGTTCCCGGTGTCCTTCCCACCACCACGGTTTCTTTTCCCACTACAGGGTAGCCAGCCTTTGTCTCCTGCAGGTCGAAAGCATTCCTTTCTTAGGGAAGTAACAACTTGGATGCTTGCCTATTCCTGGAAGGTTAGGATGATGAAACAACCAGACTGAGATGGAAATGCGAGTTGTGGCTTATGGCCACACAGCTCTATGATTTAATTTAATTCCACAAACTCTGTGCACCTTCATGAAAGACTATGCTCTAGGCACAGGGTTTGTCTGTGGGTGAGACATGCTTTGAAGTGTGGCCGGCTTTTGCATGGCTAGTCCCTTTTCTGAATGCTGTTCCTTAGCTTCTTTGCCTGATCTATGCCTCCTCCTCCTCTTCCTTCTCCTCCTCCTCTAGGTCAGAGATGTCACTTTCTCTGAGATATCTTCTCTGGTCCTCCAAAGGGAAGTTAAATACCTCCATGTACTCCCAAATGGGAGCAACCACCAAAGATCCCCCCACCATCATTGATATCAAAGCATGGTGATTTTCTTGTCCTGGGTGCAGGAGGAAATATGTAATCCATGCAAGACAAACCATGGTTCTTCTCAAAAGAGTTTCTCCTTGATGATGCAAAACAACATTTTAGTAGGTGTGGGGTGACATGAGTTGCTTTCTTAGCCACTCTGCCCTGCCCCTGTAGACCCACCAGAATATGCATGCATAAAGCTGATCAGCGGGGCCTGGGAAGTTGTTGTTGGTCTCCAAAGAACCATCTAGTGGAAGTCTATGATGTCAGGCTGAATGAGACTCTGGGATCAGACAGAACTGGGTTTGTCACTTATTGGGGGCACATTCCCGGCTCTCTTCTTTTGAAAACAAGGTTGATGCTACCTCTCTGACCCGAAAGGGGTGTTGGGCAGGAGGCCACCTGTCTAGAAGGGCTTGGTTGCCTGACTGGCTCCGAGACCTCGCCCCTGTTTGATGGTGAGCGCTGCCCACCTGCATCCTGGAGGCACACCTGTGTGGCTCAGTTCCTATACGGATGTTTGTTCTCTCTGCAGAACCCAAGCGCTACCACAGTTGCTCTCTGTTTGGTTAGTTGTGACATTTCTTAACTGACATATTAAAACAGGGACATTGATCTCTTAACTGACATATTAAAACAGGGACATTGATCTCTTTCAGTTTTCTGCAGCCCTCTGTACTAAGGTGCCATTACACGTGACCTTAATCTTCTCCTGAGCTAAGATGCCAGCTCTTTCCAGGCTGGGGTGGCGAGGAGAGCTTCTGATGGAGGAATAATTAGGTATTGGCCCTTGCATTAGTCTGGTTCATGGTGCTTACTGCTCTCAGGATAAAGGTCCATTACACTTTCTGTTTGCTTGTTTTGTTCAGGGGTTACTCTTGGTTCTGTATTACTCAGGAATTACTCCTGTCCATGCTCAGGGGACCTTATGAGATGCTGGATATTGAACCCAGGTCAGTTGCAAGCAAGGCAAGCGCCCTACCCACTGTACTACTGTTGCGGCCCAAAGGTCAGCATACTTAATGTGACTTGTAAAGCCTTGTAGGATTTGATCTTTGGCGGGCACCTGGCCAACCTCATCACATGCTGCTCCTGAACTGAAGAAGCTGAAGGAGCCTCTCCCTCTTCAGCTTTGCAAAGACTGTGCTCTCTGCACTGCCCCTCTCTCCTTTATCAACTTGGGCAACTTTTGATCTTTAGGTCCTTACTCAAGCAGCCTTTGTTGGAAAGACAGATCTTAGAAACCATTTCCTGGCTTGTCATACAGACCTCGGTCACCCAACCGTCACCTTAAAAGTTAATGGGCCCCCTGCCGTTAAGAAAAAATAAAAACCTGCAATGTGGTTATCAACTCTAGCTCACATGCTACATTTCTGTTCTCATACTCATGGCAGACATAACCAATCAATTGCGGAATCCATTTGTTCTGAGTCTCCACAGAACTTTAGAGCCTTTATCACAGCCAACCACTAATTGATAAACCTTGGTCTGTCAAGAAAAGAAAGTATATGCCTTCTTTAGTCTGATCTCAGAATGTACTTTCAAAAAAATAATAATGACCTTTTTTTGGCCTTTTTATCATTCTTTCTAAGGCTTCTTTACTCCTTATTTTCTACTCCCTCCGCCTCCATTTTCCATTCTCTCAATCCTGTGGGCCCAGAGGTAAAGTGTTTTCCACTCTGATAGGAACATACCTGATGATTCAGAGCTCCCTCTTGCCTGCTTCAGTGGAAAAGGTGTCTTGGATGACAAGCCCTGGCCTGTCCCACTTGCTAACAGTGCAGCTTCCTGGGTCTCTGAGGTGTTGGGGCTTTCTGGCAGATGCAGCGGGAACAGACAAAGAGGCTTCAGAGCTGTCAGGGGAGTCAAATCCTCTCAGTCTGAAGTCTGCTTTCCTTTGAGGAGGCTGGGAAACTTTCCCTGTAAACTCTCCTGCTTTTATAATCTCACCAGGAAGAAGGAAGCTAATATACATATTCTCTTGGGAGGAAATGAATCTGAAGTTGTTGCCTGGCTGAGGAGCTACCCAGAGCCCTGGCTGAGTGTCTCTTCCTAGGGAACTCTTCTGGCCCCGATAGGAGCCATGGGTGGGGATTCAGGGCGAGGACTTAGGACTTCAGTACTTTGGTCAGCAATGAAATTGTAATTGCTGCCTGGAAAACAAAACAAAACAGCATAAACCACTTTTGGAAACATACCAGGAATCCCTGTGCTAGTATGACAGCATCTCTGGGTCCTGGGGGTGAAGTGTGCTGGTACATTGTGTGTGTGTGTGTGTGTGTGTGTGTGTGTGTGTGTGTGTGTGTGTGTGTTGAGGGATGGGGTAGGGGGTTGATGATTGGCTCTGTGGCTCAGGATCAGGTGGGATCTGTGGGGGAGCCAGGGAGGAGTGAACTGGAGAAGAGACACAGACAGACTTGCGTGGGGTGCTGGCCACAAAGGAGCGGGTCTAGAGAGTTTGCCTGGGTAATAACAAACGGGTCCCCTTGATCAGGAGTGAGGAAACTGAGGAGAGGAAGTGGTCTGGCGAGAAGATTATGGATGTGGTTGGGAGTCCAAGATGTCAGTAATTAAAGCTGGTGTGTGGGAGTGAGGGTAGCATGGGGTGAAGGAGATGAAGGAACAATATGTGCTAACATCTCATGCCACAGTGAAGGCAGTGTGGGCTGCGTTCTTTTTCTCTCCATGACTTGGGTGCACTTAGAGGGAATCTGTGAGGAATAGGTAGGAAGTGACGAAGGAGACACAGATATCACTGCTGAGCCTTTTTTCTCCTAGGATGGTACTTTCCCTGTGCACCTTGATGTGCAAAGCTTCCTGGAATTCTCCTCACTTGTTTGCTGGCGGGGCCTCCTGCTGTGCTCTGTGATATCTTCCCCGATATTCCCGTTGATATAAATATCCAGGAACATGAGGTCCTAGAACTGGTCAGAAAACAAAGATGAGCAGCCAGAGTAGGTGGAGGAAAGGGGCCCAGTGAGAGGCCCACAACGGATGAACCTGCTCCCTTGGTCAGGGTGGGCCTGGGACACACAGACTTTCCTGCCTCTGTGCAGGTCTGAGGCCCAGTTTAATGGCTGCTCCTCTCTCTTACCTGAACAATTCTGTACATGGTTGGTACCTTCTTATCACTCATATCTGCTGTCCAGTGGTACCTCCTTAGGGAGGTCATTCATCCTATTCCCCAGATAAAGAGGTCATTGAGCTGATCTTGTGATAACTTCTTCAAAGGAACCTGGAAAGTGAACAGCAGAATTTTCTTCCAAGGGTGTCAGGGAAGACGTCTCAGAAGAGGGGAATTTATACTAAAGTGCTCCACCTCCCCTAGCCCGAGAGCTGTAATAAATCATCATGAGCTTTGTGATTTTAAGCAGCACAGATATATTATTTCACAATTCTGTGGGTCAGAAATATGACCTAGTGTCACTGAGCTAAAATTCCTACCTTTTTTGTTTGTTTTTGGGTGACACCCATGATGATTAGGGCTTACATCTGGCTCAGTGCTTAGGGATCTCTCCTGGAAGGCTCAGGGGACCTTATGGGGTGTGGAGATAGAACCTGGGTTGGCTGTTTTGCAAGGCAAATGCCCTTCTTGTTGTTCTCTCACTCTGTTCCCCGAACTGCCTGGATTCCTTGATTCCTGCCCTTTTTATCCACTTTCTTTTTGCTGGGGCTGGGGAGGTGGTGTTGGGGCTACCGGAAGTGCTCAGGGGCTACTCCTGGCAAGTTTCCTACTAAAGACCAGAAGAGAGCAGCACACTGCAGAGATTCTTT